GTAAATTATGTTATATTTGGAAACATTTGGAAACACGATTACAAAATTATGGAAACTGGGATAGGCACTAAATATACAGTAAGCAAGTCACAGAAACAGAATTGTAAAATTATATAGACAGCTGAGGGTCCCTAAAGCCATCAACAAAGTAGACGATGCTTGATTCAACCAATGTCAAACAATGATCAAAATATTATTTAACGTAAAATAATAATACATTATTCACCTATCTTAATTCTTTGTTTTTGTGTTAAATTATCTGTTTTATATTCTGTAAATTGGGGATTTTTTAGTACAGGAAAGACTTTGACTTATTGTAATAAAACTCTGCTATATTTCTGTATTGAACAAATGTTGTTAACAATAGGACTATTTACTATGTATGTATCTTAATTAAGTGTTTTACACTATCCACGCATTATTTATATAACATATATGTATTTTTATTCAAACATTACCAATGACAGAAAATAGTGTGTACTCTATGTTGGATAGTCCTGGTTAGTGAATAACACCTTTTTGTAGGCTTCAATAGTGCAAGAGTTAAGGTTATATATTATTTAATAGTATTTTTTTCTCAGTAATATCCAATTAATATTCAATAGTTCTGTCACAGAAATGGAATATAAAGCAGCATACTAATTTATTTGCAGGAGAAAGAAGTAGTAGATTGTGGATAAGCTAACTTTTTTACACATATGTTACTAAACAAGTAATGTGTTTCTAAAAATGACATAATGGCAGGTTATCTTCTCACCTATATCTTTTACTCAAACTGTATAACACCACTTACAAATATCTACAGTATATATACATATTCAAATGTTAGAATCACAAATTAATTCAGGTTTTATTCTACATGCCACACCCATACAGAGCTAGGAATCATTAACCCTTTCACTTCCAGAACCTGTTCTTTAATTTTCACTTCAGATGGCCAGACTTTTTTTTTCTCATTTTTTTTCACTTTTTTAATCATTTTAAAATCATTTACAGATTTCAAAGTTTGTTTAAGTCCCCCATGCCAATACTTTATGAAAGCACAAGACCAATAGAATACAGAATACAAATGTTTTTAAAAACTGTATTTTCAGTAAAAATACACTGAGATTATTATTAGTGCACAAAAACACAACATAACTAACAAAATTCCTATAAAATCCCCATAAAACTTAATTGAGTTAATAAAGAACAACTATTTACATACTTTAAACATTGCCTTTTTATGCAGTTGCAAAACTGTACATAATGTGTGCAATGTGTTTGCATGTACTGTACGTAGGAGTTGTGTATAATATTTAATCCGATGCTTTGTTCATTTTTAACCTTTTTTTGCTGCTTAAATACTGCTACCAGGAGGCAACAAATACATTGAGGACAGTATATACTCCAGTTGTGATAGGTCCTCCTTGAATAAATATTAGGTTCTAAACAGACTCCTGATGTTTCCCCTTAGGGATGTAGAAAGAGGTAGAGTCCTCAATCTCCTTTTCCCCTGAACACTGAACATGGATGTGCTAAATACTAAGATCTTTTGTCTTTGTTCACAAAGTGAAAGAGATAGGAGCTTTCTCCTTGATGAAGACACAAGGTGTGTAATGAAATGTATCAAGGCAGAGCTACATGATGTCATCACCGAAACTCGGAAATGGGCACAAAATGGTTTTTCTATAGATGTGATGCGGATTTTTACTCTTAAAGGGGCAATGCTGATTGTCCAAAAGCAAATGTAGTGTACTGGTTGAAGGTGCTCTTTACGTGTGAGTGATTTTTCATTTTTTTTAATAATCCTTTAGTTTAAATGTGGTGCACGATGATGGCTTTTTATTGTTTTTGAGCAACAAATATAACTTCATTTTGCATCTGGCATCTAATGATTGGTGAGAAGAGGAGGCGTGCTTTAGGACTTTTGGTAAAGTGAAAGCCCTAATTAAAAGGCAAGGCTCATGATGACCTATTTTAAAAGATAGGTCAATTTCTATAGGTGAGCAGTTGGTGTGGCTGGTGGTGGAGCACTAGCAATTGAAACTGAATAAAGCTACACGGTACAAGGCTGTGGATACATTTATTTTGTATGGAAATTATGTAATTTGTCTATATACAGTATATTTGTTTATTTTAATTTATTTTAGTTAAGCTGGCCATAGATGGTTCAAATCTTGGCCTGTTCAGCAGGGACCAGTCATGATTCGATTCATGTATTGGCAGGCTGATTATTCTCAAGTAAATCCATTGACCAACTTGGGTACAATCAGCATGTCAGATTTTTAGGATGCAATTACTGCCAGTGGCTCATGGTTGCAAGAAAGACAATTGCATAATCTATAGCCTGCCTAAAATTGCGTGACATTTGTCGGTGCACAGAGTACTAAAGTATATCACAGTGTACAGGATTTGTATTTAGTTAGTTTTGAAAAGTAATTTTGGAGAATCTGTAAGAGGTTTTATAAGTCACAAAAGGATGATCACTTTGGGTAACACAATATTTTGTAATATAGAGTTGTGCTGCACTTTTCTATATACAGTACTTGTATATATATATATGAATACATCAGTATTGTTGGGTGGACCCACCTGACAGTGCCTGCACAAATTTCCGGGGACTTTAAATTCCATGCCATCCCTATGCCCATTAAATTTTACAACTGATAGTTTACTATTATTGTAAAAAGGGCAGGAAAGCAAACACTCACAGATACTAGCGAATAAATGAATAGGAGCCACACTCCAATCTCATCTTTCTGGATTTGTTTTCAAACATCTATGTGAAAACTGCAGCTATGGTCTCCACCCAAGATGAATACCTCCTAGACACACACAGGGCTTGATCACAAGACCAAGGCTGTAATTATTGCATGGATATTTCAACAAAATCTTGAAAGCTGAGACTGGAATGAGGCTCCTATTCATTCATTCTCTTTAATTATGAACAAAGACAGGCTTTTCTGAGCAAACACCCTGTTAGTCCTAGGCCAGGGGTGGGCAAACTGCGGCTCTCCAGCTGTTGTGGAACTACATTTCCCATGACGCATTGCAACATTACAAAACTGACAGTTACAGCTATGACTTGCAGAGGCATGATGGAACTTGTAGTCCTGCAACAGCTGGAGAGCCGCAGTTTCCCCATCTCTGCCCTAGGCTACAGTAAAAGAGCGAGTCTGGAGCTGTAGTCAGGATGTTTTAGCTCATAGATTTGATCTACAATGCCTTTCGATGGTAAGGCTACTTCCCTGAAAAGTTCATCAACTCGCCTTCCCCAGCATCTCTGACCTTTCTATTGTGGAAACTCCAATCCCAGACACATACTTGCCACAGAAGGACAGCAAGGTCAAGGCTTTCTTTTGATCCTATATGGTCTCAACAAACTTTATCATTGGCAGTGACTAAGTGTCTTTGAACACAGTCTATACAAGTCTATCAGGACTTACTGAACAGGAATGACCAGCAATAAAGAAGACTTAAGCTAGAGAATATAATAATAATAATAATAATAAAAAAATTGCGCTGTGGCTTGGAGCAGACTGCTAATGTTCTGCAGAGACAGTATATCATTTTTTTGTATATAATTTGTCAAAGGGGTTAGGGAGGGTTGGTTAATGAGCTTTTTTTTAAAAAAAAAGAACCTTATGTAACGGAACTGACCCAGACCGCACTTGGGTATTTCCGTTAGACTCTCGCTTCCCTGTCCGAACACAGATCCATGGACACCACCGCTGACCATACAAGACGAGACAGCACCAGACTTATTTTAACATAGATACAAGATATATACACAGGGCGGGGAAATACACACCCAGACAGGAAACACATCAACAGGCCGTCCCATCAGGGGGAAGGGCTGCCTGAAACACCCCCCCACCAAGCCAGTACAAACACATATATCCCATAATAGTTTGCTTCCAAGAAAGACACACAATAGAACAATGGATGCACCACTTGGCAGTGAACAATGACCAACCCATACATCCCATAATAATTTGCTAGCAAGCAAGACACAATAGAACAATGGGACCACGTGGCAGTAAACAATGCACACTGACGGCGGATGACCATTTGGAAACTCGGGCACTGCCCAAGGGCCCGGGGTCAGTAGGGGGCCCATGAGATGCCCCTGGTACCTTTTTCATAGGCTTTTTTGAGTTTGGGCAAGGACACAGGGGCCCCATGATCCCCTATTGCCCGGGGGCCCCATGAGTTGTCAGTCTGCCCCTGTCCCACACCAATATTAGAACATTTTGCCCTGTACCCCTAAGAGGCACAGGGTGACTTATACATAAGAGGGATATGGGGAGCTGAGACAGGGGTCTCCCCACCCCTCAAAGTCACTCCCGTAACATATCCCCTTTTGGCAGGAGACTAATGCAGGAGTAAATCCCAGATGGATAGACTCCGAAGTTAGTCTGTACTTCCACTCCCCCAATACCAGCACCCACACACAGTACCCCAAACAAATTGTCCCGCACAATGCATTACTCATCCAGCCAACCTCTGCCTCTCTCGTAGAACATACCCGTCGCTGAGGAGAAGTACGGACTGTTCCTTCTCCCTGAAGTCCTCTCAGCCGCTGGAGAGATGACAGGGTGGCTGGGCCGACTCATCATGCTGTGGGGGATCTGGGCCGACTGCCCATCACCCCTGGGGTATCCAGGTGGCGACTGTAGTCTCATCCACTTTGACTTGATGGACATCCCCCAGTGTTTGCAAAGTAAGGCTGACATCCTCCTGTCCCAATGCCAGACCCTTTTCTGGGGTTGTGTCAGTGGAGACCAAAGTCCCATCCACGGACATCAGTAGAGATGAGCGAATTATTCAAAAATTTGATTCGGCTGATTCGCCGAATTTGCGGAATAAATTCGATTCGATGCAAATTTATTCGCTGCGAATTTAACTTATTAAAAGGGTTTCTAAGCTTCAGAGAGCCTTTATATTAGTGCAGAACACTGTACCTTTAATTTAAATGCCCTTGGAGTCTGCTGGGGAAGAGAAATAATACTGTCAGTCAGTATGACATGCAGATGAGTGCCGTCGATCTTAGAATCACCGCACACTTCACTCATTTGGGCAGTCACGGGGCCAAAACCAGAGTGTGGAGCCACAGTGTGGCGGTGGAGGCAGCAGCAATGGGAGGCCATACAGCACCCTATGACAAAATGGAACCCACCAGCAGTGTGAGGAGACCTGAAAGTGGCACATGGCAGAGTGTGGCGATGGAGACAGCAGCAATGGGAGGCCGTACAGGGACCCATGACACACTCTGGACCTGGCAGCAGCATGAGGAGGCGGTACAGGGGCCCATGGCAGCGTAAGCAGCTTAAATTGAAGGCCATACAGGGCCTATGTTAAAAATTCCCCCCAGCAGCATGTGGGGAGGCGGACTATCAGGGGCCCCATGGCAGAGTGGCGGAGCAGAAGCAGCTTCAATTGAAGGCCATACACAGGCCTAGGTTAAAAAGTCCCCCAGCAGCAGTGTGGGGAGACGACTATCAAGAGTCCAATGGCAGAGTGGCGGAGCGGAAGCAGCTTCAATTGAAGGCCAATAGTGGTTGTGAAGCAGAAAGTCAGTTTATTGTACACAATCGGTCAATTGCAGCTTGCCGTTGGCTGGAAACTGTACGTTTCTGTCACTGGAATGCACTAATCACCCAAAAAATATTACCGCCAGCCGGCGTGTAAATGGATTTACCTCTTTGAACGTACAATAGTGGTTGTGAAGCAGAAAGTCAGTTTATTTTGCACAATCGGCAAACTGCAGCACCAACTGTGCACGACAGCCACCAAAAAAAAAAAAGGTGTATGTCACTTTAAATTTTTGATTCTTTGATAGCTGTGGCCCTAAGTAACGATTCTGTGTCCCTGAGTAACGATTCTGTGTCCCTGAGTAACGATTCTGTGTCCCTGAGTAACGATTCTGTGTCCCTGAGTAACAATTCTGTGTCCCTGAGTACGATTCTGTGTCCCTGAGTAACGATTCTGTGGCCCTAAAGTCTCTGTGGCCCTAATGCAGGCCATAGATGGGTCGAAAATCGGCCGATTTTTCGGCCGAAAATAAAATCGGCCGATTTTCGGATCGTTAGTGGGCTATTTGGTCGACCGTTTTTCGGTATTTTGGCCGTTTTTTTTTTCTGTAAAGTTGGAAAAAAAAATCGGCCGATTTTGCCGATCGGCCGATTTTCGCGGCAATAGTGGGCAAATCGGACGATTTTTTGCCAATAAAAAATCTGCGCATGAGCAGTCACCTGCAAGAGGAAGACAAAAAGAAGAAAAGAAGAGAAGAGGAAGAGGATGAAGAAGAGGATGAAGAAGAAGAAGAGGAAGAAGAGGATGAAAAAGAAGAGGATGAGGAAGAAGAAGAAGAAGAAGAGGATGAGGATGAAGAAGAAGAAGAAGAGGAGGAAGAAGAAGAAGAAGAGGATGAGGATGAGGAAGAAGAAGAAGAAGAGGATGAGGATGAAGAAGAAGAAGAAGAAGAAGAGGATGAGGATGAAGAAGAGGATGAGGATGAAGAAGAAGAAGAGGATGAGGTGAGGAAGAAGAAGAAGAAGAGAGGGATGAGGATGATGAAGAAGAAGAAGAAGAAGATGAGGATGAAGAAGAAGAAGAGGATGAGGATGAAGAAGAAGAAGAGGGTGAGGATGAAGAAGAAGAGGGGAGGAAGAAGAAGAAGAAGAGATAGAAGAAGAAGAAGAGATGAGGATGAAGAAGAAGAAGAAGAAGAAGAAGATGAAGAAGAGAAGAAGAGGATGAGGATGAAGAAGAAGAAGAAGAAGAAGAGGAGAGGATGAAGAAGAAGAAGAGGATGAGGATGAAGAAGAAGAAGAAGAGGATGAAGAAGAGGATGAGGATGATGAAAGAAGAGAGGATGATGGTGAGGATGAGGATGATGATGAAGAAGAAGAAGAAGAAGAAGGAGGTGAAGAAGAAGAGGATGAGAGAAGAAGAAGAAGAGGATGAGGATGAAGAAGAAGAAGAGGATGAGGATGAGGATGAAGAAGAAGAAGAGGATGAGGACGAAGAAGAAGAAGAGGATGAGGATGAAGAAGAAGAAGAAGAAGAGATGAGGAAGAAGAAGAAGAAGAAGAAGAAGAAGAAGAGGATGAGGAAGAAGAAGAGAAGAAGAAGAAGAAGAGGATGAGGAAGATGATGAAGAAGAAGAGGAGGATGAGGATGAAGAAGAAGAAGAAGAAGAGGAAGAAGAGGAGATGAAGAAGAGGATGAGGATGAAGAAGAAGAGGGTGAGGGAGGAGGATGAAGAAGATGAAGAAGAAGAGGATGAGGATGATGATGGAAGAGAAGAAGAGAAGAAGAAGAAGAAGAAGAAGAAGAAGAGAAGAGGATGAGGATGAAGAAGAAGAGGATGAGGATGAAGAAGAAGGATGAGGAAAGAAGAAGAGAAGAGAAGAAGAAGATGAGGATGAAGAGGGAAGAGGATGAGGATGAGGATGAAGAAGAAGAAGAGAGAAGAAGAAGAAGAGGATGAGGATGATGAAGAAGAGAAGAAGAAGAAGAAGAAGAAGAGGATGAGGGATGAAGGAAGAAGAAGAAGATGAGGATGAAGAAGAAAGAAGATGAGGATGAAGAAGAAGAAGAAGAAGATGAGGATGAGAAAAAGAAGAAGAGGATGAGGATGAAGAGAGAGGAAGAAGATGAGGATGAAAAGAAGAAGAGAGGATGGGGAGAAGAAGAAGAGGAAGAAGAAGAAGGATGAGGATGAGAAGAAGAAGAAGAGGATGAGGATGAAGAAGAAGAGGATGAGGATGAGGATGATGAAGAAGAAAAAAAGAAGTGGATGAGGTGATGATGAAGAAGAAGAGGGGGAGGATGAAGAAGAAGAAGAAGAAGAAGAAGAGGATGAGGATGAGGGGAAAGAAGAAGTGGGATGAGGGTGAGGGAAGAAGAAGAGGATGAGGATGAGGAAGAAGAAGAAGAAGAGGATGAAGAATGAAGAAGAAGAGAAGAAGAAGAGGAAGGGGATGAAGAAGAAGAAGAAGAAGAAGAAGAAGAAGAAGAAGAAGAAGAAGAAGAAGAAGAAGGAAGAAGGAGAAGAAGAGGATGAGGAAGAAGAATAAAGAGGATGATGGATGAGGAAGAAGAAGAAGAAGAAGAAGAAGAAGAAGAAGATGATGAAGAAGAAGAAGAAGAAGAAGAGGAGGAGGGATGAAGAAGAAGAGAGGATGAGGATGAAGAAGAAGAGGATGAGGATGAAGAAGAATAAGAGGATGAGGATGAGAAGAAGAGAATGAGGATGAAAGAGGATGAGATGAAGAAGAAGAGAAGAAGAAGAAGAGGATGAGGGATGAAGAAGAAGAAGGAGAAAGAAAAGGATGAGGATGAAGAAGAAGAAGAATGAAAAGAAGAAGAAGAAGAAGGGAAGAAGAAGAAGAAGAGGATGAAAATAAGAAGAATTCCAGTCCAGCAAAAAGTGTATCTGAGAGGAGATTTCTGAGAAGAACAGTTCCTTCACATTTAAGCGGTTGAAAAAATTGTATCTATTTGTTTCCGAATAAAAAAAAGAAGAAAGGAAACAAAAAGATGAATGGTTCAAAAAAAGTAAATGGAAGGAAGAAAATCCTTGGAAGAGAAACTGTCAGAAAAAGCGGAGCTCTCTGAGGGAACTTTTTGCCGGCTGTAGAAGGGATGAAAATCGGCCGAAGATCGGGGAAAAGATTCGTGAAAAAAAGTGGATCCGAAGGTTTGCTAATTTTCGGCGGAAAATCGAATTTTTCCTAATATTCGAAAACGAAAAAGAACTTCGCCAAGTTCGATTCGCTCATCTCTAGACATCAGCAAAGAGCCGTTGTGAGGTGCCGATTGGATGTCCTTGAAGGCAGAGTCCAATGGCAGAGTGGCGGAGCAGAAGGAGCTTCAATTGAAGGCCATACACAGGACCTAGGTTAAAAAGGAGAAGGAGGGGGGAGCAGCGTGGGGAGACGAATATCAAGAGTCCAAAGGCAGAGTGGGGAGCGGAAGCAGCTTCAATTGAAGGCCAATAGTGGTTGTGAGGGGGGGAGCAGAAAGAGAGTTTATTGTACACAATCGGTCAATTGCAGCTTGCCGTTGGCTGGAAACTGTACGTTTCTGTCACTGGAATGCACATATCACCCAAAAAAATATTACCGCCAGCCGGCGTGTAAATGGGATTTACCTCTTTGAACGTACAATAGTGGTTGTGAAGAAGAAGTTGAAATTCAGTTTATTTTGCACAATCGGCAAACTGCAGCACCAACTGTGACGACAGACCAAAAAAAAAAAAGGGTGTATGTCACTTTAAATTTTTGATTCTTTGATAGCTGTGGCCCTAAGTAAAAAGGGGATTCTGTGTCCCTGAGTAAAAAAACGAATCTGTGTCCCTGAGTAACAATTCTGTGTCCCTGAGTAACGATTCTGTGTCCCTGAGTAACAATTCTGTGTCCCTGGTAACGATTCTGTGTCCCTGAGTAACGATTCTGTGGCCCTAAAGTCTCTGTGGCCCTAATGAAGGCCATAGATGGGGGGTCGAGGGGAGGAAGAAGGCCGAGAATAAGGTGAGAAAAAAATAAAATCGGCCGATTTTCGGATCGTTAGTGGGAATTTGGATCGAAGGTGTTTTTCGGTATTTTGGCCGTTTTTTTAGAGGGTTTCGTAAAGTTGGAAAAAAAATCGGCCGATGAGGAAGAATCGAAGGGATGAAAGGGAACGATTTTCGCGGGAATGAGTGGGAAAAAAGAGCGGGGGAGAATTTTTTGCCAATAAAAAATCTGAGGATGAGCAGTCACCTGAAGAGGAAGACAAAAAGAAGAAAAGGAGAAGAGGAAGAGGAAGAAGAAGAGGATGAAGAGAAGAAGAGGAAGAAGAGGATGAAAAAGAAGAGGATGGGAAGAGGAAGAAGAAGAAGAAGAAGAAGAGGATGAGGATGAGAAGAAGAAGAAGAGGATGAGGATGAAGAAGAAGAGGAAGAGGATGAGAGAAGAAGAAGAAGAAGAGGATGAGGATGAAGAAGAAGAAGAAGAAGAGAGAAGAGGATGAAAAGAAGAGGATGAGGATGAAGAAGAAGAAGAGGATGATGGTGAAGAAGAAGAAGAAGAAGAGGAAGAGGATGATGAAGAGAGAAGAAGAAGAAGAAGAATGAGGATGAAGAAGAAGAAGAAGATGAGGATGAAGAAGAAGAAGAAGGAAGAGGAGATGAGAAGAAGAGGGGAGGAAGAAGGAAGAAGAAGAAGAAGAAGAAGAAGAAGATGAAGGATGAAGAAGAAGAAGAAGAAGAAGAAGAGGAGAAGAAGAGGATGAGGATGAAGAAGAAGAAGAAGAAGAAGAGGATGAGGATGAAGAAGAAGAAGAAGAAGAGGATGAGGATGAGGATGAAGAAGAAGAAGAAGAAGAGGATGAAGAAGAGGATGAGGATGAAGAAGAAGAAAGAGGATGATGGTGAGGATGAGGATGATGAAGAAGAAGGAAGAGGATGAGGAGAAGAGAAGAAGAAGAGAGGATGAGAAGAAGAAGAA